TGAAATATCAATGAATATAATTTGTAAGATAAAGATAGTTTTATGAATTTCGTTCAGAATATATTATCATATTTTAGTAAATTATAAAACTATGTTTATTCGTATAGTTAAACACATACAAAGTTTATTTTTAAAAATATCCAGAGAACTTAAAATAGACTAATCAAACTAATACAAGAAAACTGGTTGAACATTCAAGAGTTATAGAACATATATTGTTTGGTGATAGAAAGATTATTCATTTTCTCGAAAAGGAAACGAATTTTGAATTTTTTCTGAGTAGTCAGATTTACCAATAGAAAAATTCTTGCAAAGAGTATTTTTAACATAAACTATAGAGTTTATTGCTGCAAAATAATTTACATCGGTATCGACGAATAATGCGACAATAGATGCTTATTATACAAAGAAAAATTTCATACGAAGTTATAATATGTTGATAGATTGTTTGAATTTAATTAATAGATTCATACATAGCATCTGTTAATAGGTCATTTGATGCTTCATTGATCGAATTTTCTACTTGACATTGTTACTTTTGGATTATTTTTTTCAAATTTTACGTTTAATAGAATTCCATAATAGTTCAGTACTGTTCAAATAAGAGTTATAATCTCTTTATTAACATAATTCAATATTACATTCTTTATTAGAGAATGTCTATCGATAAAGCATGGAATCATCTATTAAGACATGTTATTCAAAAATATATTTAGAAAAACCATAGACGATATATCAACCTTGCCTATCTTCTTATGAAATTTTTCTTTGTGCTATTAACGTTTTGTTTTGTACTCGTCAAATATATCTACGTAAATTTAGTCTAACTATAAACTCTATAATTTATTTAAAACGTACGATTTGGAAGTATTTTGTTTTTTAGTAGTATAATAACATACTACTGTAAGTTTAAATCCCGCATCAGTACCAGCGACTTTTCTTGTCAATCGTTTGATATCTGTAGGATTTGTCTCTCAACCAATCTTTTGTATACAATAAATTAAATTAAATTTTTTTCTGCCTAAGCGTTTTATTCCAAAACAAAACATTATTTAATATCTACATTTGTTTATTATTATAAACATCTAAGACTGATTCGAGTTCAATTTAGACTCGATTAAAAATATGAATCTAATTTTCAGTTTAAAAACTTCGAACGCAACACTTTCGACATTTGAAATTTCTTATCCGATTTGACATTAGAATAAACACAAAAAGATTACGATCGAAAATATGAAAATTTCTGGTTTGTAAAAAAAAAAAAAGATGATTTATTTTGTATTTAAATAGTTGAAAATGATGGTGATGCCAATAAAATCTTATTTTCTTATGGTTATGGTGCATCATTACCAACATCAGCAAAACGACGTCTTCAACATTCCGTTCATTTAGCTAAACGTGTTATTCAACTTGAACAAGCAAATACATCATTACGTTTAGAATTAGATCGAGAACGAAAGAAAAAGACTGATATTCATCAAGAGGTTTCTATTTTTTTGTTTCGATTAGTTTTGTTTTTATTTATATATGTTGATAAAATCTTTTAGCTCGAAAATGCAAATCGAATATTAGATCAAGCTCAACAACCATATGATTTTCTTATTGCAACTGTACGTAATAAAGATGCACAATTAAAAAAAATTCACGATACTATTGAACAACTTGAAAAACAACTTAGGTTTGTTTTGTTTTTATTAAAAATCGAAATTGAATTGTTTTGTTTTGTTTTTAAATAGAGAATGTGAAAATGAACGACAATCATTAATTAAAACAAATAATCAATTAACAAAAGATATTGAAAAATTACTTGAATATCAAGAGGTAATTTTTCATTTGAAGAATTTTCAATGAAAAACAAAAACAAAATTTTTATTATTTAGCCATTGAAAGTAATGAAAAATGTTATTATGAATTTACATCATCAAGATCCACAAAAACCAACTCGTCGTACACCATCACCACCGTTAAATAATAAATATCGTTCAATTACACCACCAACTCTTCAATCAAGACGATCAGTTGGTTTTGTTGAACAACTCGATCAACATCACAATCCACCACCGATGGTTTTTGTAAATTAAAAATATTTTTTTTTTGTTCTTTATTTTTCATATAAAATTCATTTTGCTCATTTTGTTTTTAGACATCGACAAGTACTGCAAAAAGTCCCTCAACAAAAGTTATTCGAGGACCACCAGCATCTCAACAAGGAAAATATCGAAAAATATATAAAGTGACCAATAATTAACAGATCTTTTTTTTGTAACTTTTTGGTAGAAAAGTGATTTGTTTTATGTTTTCTATTAGTTTTTCACTGTGTTTCATATTTGTAACTATTCAAAGATCTTTTTTGATTGATATTAGACTATTTATCGAATAGATGTGTTTGTTGTGTCGGTATTCATTTAAATAATGTTCCCTCTGTCATTGTAATCCCAATATACTTGGCTCACTGTTCGACAAGTAACATAACTAGTGATGAGGGAAACCAATCGTTTTTGGCTCCGATTCCGTTCTGAAATTTTTTTGATTTTCATTTCGCGTTTAGTAATAAATATACTACTAGCAAAAAATGCGATATGATTTTCTAGTAGCGTCAATCAGATCGAGACATCTTGCATAACCCGTATAACTTCTAACGTCTTCCTTTTTAAGACGTTCATTATCTTGTTCTTAATTCACTAATATTTATCTATTCTGCGCGTTTATGTTTTCAACAACTCATTGGTTCACGAAAAAGAGGATCAGTGTTAGTATGAAAATTATAACAGCTACTACAGAGCAGTACCAATTATTTTTGGTGTCGATTTCTCGGGAACTGAGACTGAAATCATCTTGCTCATATCTAAACAAACATTTGTTTTCCAATTCTATTTGAAAGTGAAGAGTGCGAATAAGAATGAGTATGATATCTACATCGAATTGTAAAATGAAATTATTATCATGCATAAGTATCTGTTTTTATTTGATTATTAGTGCTAAACATCATTCATATATAACACACGGTGTTCCGTATGAGTTATTGCAATTAGCATGAAAACGTTCAATAGCAGTAATTGATGCGTAAGAATAAATATCAAACAAATAGTTCTATTGATCACAACGAATAAGAAGGTCCATATCATCATTAAATAGTGTTCGATATATTTTGTAAGATGAATAAGTACAATAATATTAGATCCTATGCATATCAATAGATATAAATATTTATTTAATTAGAAAACTAATACTTTGTTTTTATGTTAAAAAAAGATTTTTTTAATTCATGAGAGGAAAATATTATTGACAAATTCTTTTTTTTTTAAGCAAGATGATATTCGAATACATTCGAACTGTAAATAAAAAAGAATTATTTAACCAATATAAGTTGGAGTGTTTACATGTATGTTACTTTGATCCTTTTCCTAGGACCAGTGATGAAAATCTTTTTGACCAAGAACAAAAACAGTAGTATTCAGCATGTCCAAATATGCTAACATAAAAAAAAGATATTTTCCCTCTTAGAAATGCATTCAATAAGATTATATTCTATATTGCTTAATAATCGTTCGGTCTCATATGCTGTCTACGGAAAGTTCGAAAGCATTTCTTATATTGATGAGCACATTTCTAACTTATAAATGCATACTGTTGAGTACGTGTATTCGTGTGTTTTCTATGATTTTCACATTTTGTGACTAAGTACCTATTTTTCGAAACTAAATGAAAGCAACACTGAAAACGTCAAATAAACTTGTATTCAACCATTCTTTTGCATTAGCAGTCTTTTTTGCATGGATAATTTTATTAAGTCAATGTAAATACAACACAAAATACTTTTCAGCTGCAATAAAAACTATATAATTAAAAATGAATTCCATGTAGAACGATCCGTACATGAAGTTTTGCCGAGAAACAATTGATTTACCATAGATGGAATTGATCTAGTACTATCAGATTTATTTGAGTTTCTAACCAGTTCTCAATGAAATAGATGAATTTGATCTTCAATTTTTGAATAATTAATTCTAAGTGGTAACACCTAGACAAAAACTAAATAACTAAAGCGAATAAGATTTATTACACTAATGTAAGACAGTAGTAGGAAAGTAGATAAACTCAATTACTAACCAGTAAACATCTACAGATGCTGAATGACTTTTGCATCGAGGCGATGCTTATTTGATGAGTACTAGTAAGTAATAGAAAGGTCTACAACAATTTGGTTTTCCAGACTTTCCTTCTTGAAATATCAGAGTTGTACTGAACTCTAAAAAAAAAGGTCTGTAGTCTCCTCCCAGATCAGACGGCAAATCAACTTTCGACTTAAAACTTTGCGCGAATTAAGTTTTTAATAAGATGAATCCATTGGATCAATTGAAACTTTTCTGGTATCTTCTATGATGACATATAGAATATTCGAAATTCTCTCACGTGTGAAAACAAATATTGTTCATTTCCAGAAAAGATATACTAGAAAAGCTAAAATTTGCACAATCAACAAATCATGCCAAGATCGAACATCCGAAAAAGCAAACCATTCTAGACATTTATATTACTTAGCAACACTTATTATATTAACATTGTCTCGATCGAAAAACGATTTGATACCTAGAGAGGTTTCCTTGTAAGTAATTAGTGATTTACTAATTAATTAGTATTATATTGATCACAGATCAGTTCAAAAAGCGAACATTATGCAGCAAGTGAGAATAAATATTTTTCTCATTTAAATGAAAAAGCTAAACAGAGCACGATCATAAAACTTATTGTTGTCTTATATAAATAAGAAAATAAGTGAATGTATAACAAACGCTATATTCTCTATCAATTTTAAAACTAATTATTCTAAACATTACATTCTTTATTTCGTTGTTATTTGAAAAGAAACCATTAAAAGAGTTTAAAATAAACTAATTAATAGTTAATAAAAAAAAAAAACTATTTCTTTTATAAAACAAAAGAACATCTATTAATTATTTTATTTAAACGAATTCGATTCGAAAAATATTTTAATTGTTTTAATTATTTATTTTGTTTTCGTTCGGTAAAATATCCTGATATGCTGGTGGTATTATGAATGTATTTGATGGATAATTAAGTGATGTACTGGATGGATAAATTCTTCTTTGATTATTTGGTATTCCTATTAATGGTTGAATAATTCGATTTTGTTTACGTGGCCGTAATAGAACATAAATCCAAAATAAAATCAACATAAACGAAATGAAAATCACTTTTTTAAATAAACGAAGGATATACGATTAATTAGTAAAAAAAGACAATGTATAAACAAGACTCACTCTTCATAACACTAACTAATAAAGACAAGATAAATATAAAATCTTTAAAAATATGAAAAATAAGTATGATTTACTTGTTGTAGCTACATAATGCAAATCATGCATGTAGTTCATACATGGTTGAAAACTAATTAAATAAAAAAAGGTACGAAATGCTAAAATTTTGTCTTAATAAATACTTACCGATAAATTTCGTAGGGATTTATTGACATATAAGTAAAAATCCTAAGGCAATTTGAGGGAAAATTGACATAAAAATAACGACCTTCTCTACGCGATAAATTTTTATTCAAATCAATGCCACAACATCTTCTATCTTTAATAATACGATAAGACATAATTAAATTCCAATCATCGGGTATTGTTCCATCGGGATATTTTTCAATTAATTCATAAAACCTCTGACGACTATTGTCAATAAAATTTCGTGATGAAAAAATTTCAAATATAAATATGATTAAAATAATAACTAAAATTAAGAAAGAGAAAACTTCTTAGTGAAATCTTCACAAGATTAAAATTCAAAATCTTTCGATTTATGAGTTATTTAATTATGTTCAACAAAACTAGAAGAAAATTTTTCTTATTAAATATAACAAACCAGTAACAATTGTAAGAAACAGTATAAGTATTTTAACATTTTTTGTTACACATAAAAGAATTATAAGATTTATTTGAATAGAAAATAGAATAATTGATGCTAATGTTCCGCTTAACGTAAATCCGTGTAAAAATCCTTCGATAACATACAATCCTGGTGCACCAAGAACTGATAATGAAAGTAAAACACTTAAAGAAATCGGTAATAAATCAGCCATTACCAAAAGAATAACTAAATATTAACGTAAATGAAAATAATAATATTAAAATATTAGCGCTTTATTACTTTATTTGTTTTCTAATTATGTCTAATCAAACTACTTAATTGAATTTCATAAAAGAAAATAAGTCAATCATTTTAGCTGATCTGAAATATCTTAAGACAAGACTAATTATGTCATAAGATAAGCAATTAGAAACACGAATCTTTTGTAAAAATGTACAAGCCGGATTTTCTTTATGACATGATCGCATTAGGAAGGAATATTGAATAGACAAATGTTTCATGTGCATCATTTTATTATGTTTCATAAGAATGAATTCATAGATATTAATCAAGTATTATTCGATTTTTCTTATATTTTATTTCGAAGTAAAATCTTTAGCACAATTACTACGTGATTAAAATGTAAAAATTAGACTAGTTGCTTACGTTTTAAATCAGTGGTTTCAATGGAAAATATTTCGATTTGTGAGTTACGAACTATTGATAATCTATATTGGTGATGAAAGATGTTAATCATGTTATGCTACAGTGAATATGCAAGAAAGACATAATCATTATTTTAAATTTAATCGAGTTTTAGACTAATCCAGCAACTTCCATGGGTATTGGTATTGCAGTTTTTTAGGAGAGAGTAGCAACACTGAAGTGTTTGCCACAGTTTATGATAAAAGGGACGGGATGTTGTTTGGGCGTCTGTCATGGTTTGAGGGGAGAGTACGATTTTTACTTTTATACTTCAACATTACTTTTAGATCATGTTTTATAAAAGAGATCAATAAATCGACAATTAAATATAAACCTTTTAACTTTTAAGATTATCTTATTAATCTCAAGAAAACTTCGAGAGAAAATTTCTAAGCCTACATTTGGCAAGAGCACAAAATTTTGCTCTTAGTCTATAGTTTTGAATTCATTAGAAACATTTTTAAAGTAGTCAAAAATAAACAAATATTTTGTCTGAAAAGTTTCGGCTCATCCGTTATTAGACAGGCTAATACTCTATTCATAAAGTTATATTAATAGTGGCTCTTCTGGAACTGTTGTGAGGAGTAAAAGGTTAAAGTCGATTAATACATTTAAACAAATTTTAATAGATTAAATGTATAGTTTTATCTATCTATCTTTGTAATCTAGTATTAAATCATCCAATAAATATTTCTAACTTGACGCTTGCAAATTCTATTTTTAGTTTATTCAAATTATGGTACATTCCTATCAATGATTTAATCGAATGTCTCTCGATAATATATACGATTGTTATAACCTTGCAAGAATCTCATTTGTTTTAATAAGAATTAATCATTATGAAATGAAAATTTATTCATTAGATTTAATGCCAATGGATCATCAATAGTTATATTACATTCCATTACGAGAATAATAATTGCAAATATGATAAATAATTATATATATATAATTCATTATAATCATAGAAATTGATTATTTCTTCAATCAATGAAAAGTTTATTATCGATTTTAATATAATTATCAGTCAAAAACCGATGTTTTCTCGTAAAAATCTAAGTCATGTGTCTATCATAAAAAATAATATTGATTTTTTGCTTCAATATTTTTCACTATGTAAATTCTAGTAGAATCTTCATATTAACGAGTAAGAAATAATTAATTATCAGAGATCGGCATTCAAGAACGTGTTAAAGTTCTTGTCATCATGTAGATTTCTCTATCATTGAATACTATCATAATGATTATCTTCCCTTTTTCTTTAAGTAAAACAGACGTGAAGAGCATAGCGCACTAAAAAGTTATAATTGATAAGACTAAGATTTTCACGATACTCAAACATGAGCAAGATTTCAACATTTACATTAGACGAACATACGTCATGTTCTATAACATTGATGATTATAGATCTAATATCTAGAAACTAAGAACCTCAATAAGCCTTTTATATTGTTATGTTAAGCGTAACAAACCCAATCATCAAGCATTCTGAAATTAAAATTATCGATAAACTTAAAAACAAGCTGTTTATTAATAGTAGTAACTATTGTCGGCACCAGAATTCAGTGTGGATTGATGTAGGACAAATATCTCGAGAACAATAATAACTAGCGTTCTGCAGTTTTGATATAATATTATGCAAGATGAAATCATTATATAACCAATATTTTTTAGGAATCCTTCTGAAAAATGCATAATAATGTAATGTAACTCCAATGAAATTTTCATTCTGACATACATCTTAGATAGAAAAACTTCAGCTCTACAGTTCAAGATACAATGCAAATGATTAATTTCTCACAGTCGAATGATGAGCAAATGAAGTCAGCCATTTATTCAACACTCGGCTGTGACAAGATAATCATTCGCATTGTAACTTGAACTATAGAGCTGAAGTTCTTCTATCTAACATGCATGTCAGAATGAAAATTTCATTGGCACTTCATTACATTTTTATGCATTTTTCGGAAAGATTCCTAATAAATATTGGTTATGTAATAATTTCATCTTGGATAATCTTACATCAAAACATTTTCTAACTCAGCCTCTTTCGATTGGTGAAAATCGCAGAATGCTAGCTTTTGTCGTTCTCGAGATATTCATCTTACGCCAATCCACATTTAATTCTGGCGCGCCGACAATAGATAGAACTCTTTCATTCGTCTACTATTCCGTATATTTTCTTGAATCGATCGTTAAAGTCTGAATAAATAAGCGCTTCAAATAACTGACATGGACGTTTTTTTTTTATAAAAAAAAAGAAGACAAAATATCCTTATAAATTTTGTCTGATTCGATTGTTTATTTTTTCTCTTCTTGTAAAGTATACCGATAAATTTGAGATGTGTTAAAGTTGACTAGTTATTAACAGATGTATTCGACGAATAATTAGCAGAAAAACTTGATGGATAATTTATTTTTTGATGATTTGTTATTCGTATCTTTGATTGAATCATTTGATCTTGTTCACGTTGAATTAACTCGATATAAGTCCATAAAAAAATCAAGACCAATGTGATGAATATCACTTTTGGCTCAATTAGATATAAAAATAAATAAATATAAAAATAACTTACTCTTGAAAGCATTGACTAAAAAATGTGAGAAAACATAATTTTTTTTTTTAAATACAGAATACCACTAGTGAATATACTGAGTTCAGGGTACCGTGAGGAAAAAAAGAAGAGATTTCAGTTTTCAAGTCTGTCGAAGTGCCATGAAATATTTAAGTGATAACTTTTGGACATTCTTAGCAACATCTTTCTTTCATTACAAATCATGACCAACATCTCGGCACCATTATCTCTTTCCTCCACTCCTCGCGTCACAGATCCTATATCAACAAACATCTCGTTATAATATATGAACTACTACCATATTGCATTTCTGAGAATTAAGTAAAAAAAATGATGAAGAAATGTATTCGAAAAAAATATATAGAATAAAACAATCTCTGTGTGTATAGTAAGAGCAGCTAGATCGTGTTTCACACTTTAATCCCTCAAGGATTCCACTAACAACTTTTAATTATATATTGGTGTTTCATGAAGTTTTTGGAAGTCTTGAGGTCAGATAGTTTCCTCTTAGGATACCCTGCTACCAATATGTAACAGAAACCTTTGGGTACTGGTGGATTTTTAAGAGTTGATTACAAAATGCTTGTAAATGTTCAATCTACTAACTTGTTGAAAAATTTTTCATAGAATACTATAGAAAATGGACAGGTATCTAGTTAGTATCTATCATTTAATACTTCGCTATAGGTCAAATAGCTACTAACATAACTATAACTTTAGAAGAACTCCGTATGAAAACAAACCTTTTAAGAGTTTTTCTCATCTCGACGAACTGTGCATGTCAAAGAAAGATGAGCTCGATCGACGATTCACACCTATGAATCTTCTCTCATGAGATAATTCTCAGTCAATCAAGATCCTGTGACACATGAATAACAGGGTACCCGAAAAGATACTTGGCCGACAACTGAGCCAGTACACTGGTACCTTGAACTCAATACATCCACTAGAGCATGCTAAATATACATTTTATAAGTCTGCGATGCCATTTATGCACATAATTCATACATGGTCGACCACTAATGATTAGGAAAAAAAAGACATGAGATATTTATCTGTGTTTTGTTTTACTTATACTTACCGATATGGATGTTCAGAATCTGATGTAGGTGGATAAAATATTATACAATTGTCATAAAAATTTACACGAAAATAATTGGATTCTTCAAATGATAAATTCTTATTATTATCGATACCACAACATTGTTCATCTTTAATTGGTACATAATATGATACGAATTGAGCTGAATCTGGTTTTTCACCATTAGGATATTTTTCCATTAGTTGATGAAATATTTGACGACTATTATCAACAAAATTATATAACAAAACTATTTTGATGAGGAATAAAATTAAAATAATCACTAAAAAAATTTCCAAAAATATATTTTATTTTATTTTATTTATGTCAGTTAAACCTGTATTAATACTAGCAAAGATAATAATTTTTTTAATATTGTTTATTGAACACAAAACAATTGTTAGAATACTAAGTGCAAAACAGAGAATGATTGTTATTAAAGGTTCACCTAATGAAAATCCTTGATAAAAGCCTTCGTAGATAAATATTATCGGCGTTCCAAAAGCTGACCATGAAAGCATATTAATCAAACAAATTCGTAATAAATCAATCGTCATTGTATTATGAACTAAATACTAAATTCGATAAGAAATAAACTATTATAATAAAAGCGCGCTCTTAACTTGATTTACATTTATATCTATTAGAATAATTTAAATTTCATTGTATAGTTGATAGCATCAATTTTAGAATACAAATTTTTAATAATAACAAAAAACAAAAAGTGATTTCTATTGATTAACCTAATCCGTACACTCATTTGATACTTGACTAAATCTATTTTTATTCATAATAAATCTATAAATCTATAATATCAAGAATAAAATGAGAGAGTCTAGAAAGAGAAACTTATCTTTGTTTGTCGATCTATAATAGAATTAAAAAGAACATTAAATCATTATGATTCAAAATGATCATCCAATGTACTTTAATTGATTAACAATGATTAAATTATTCGATGTGATTTTGATCAAAATTTCAATGCTGATTAAATAAATATGTTATTTCTTTTTTTTTTTTAAAGCTAACCATTGATGAGAGAACTGAGATACATAATTTTGAATTAGCAAAATTCATCCTTGATGAATAATTTTATGTATGTCTTTTTTAAGTACAAACAACACTATTGAAATTTATTAAAATTGTAAAAAAATTATTTTACAGCAAAAAAAAATTGTATTCATATTGCTTTGATAAATGCATCATTAGGATCGCATGCGATTATATTCATAGTTTTGGATCAAATGAATTAATATATGATGAACGTTATTTTATTTACTTTTTATCAATGGATGAACTAAGTCATTAATAAGTATGTCGTACACACGCTCAGAATTTCAATATCATGCTACAATGTTTTCACAAAGCATAAGGATGTTGGTAGACTAGTTACTAATTATCTTTTCAGTGAAGAGTATTTTATTAATATCAGAATATGTTACTTAAAATTCTTTGAATTCAATACTTGCTTAAGTATGTAGACATTTAAGTTCGATATGCTTCTTGAATTCCTTAAGTTATCAATTTCAGTTCAATTGAATAATGATTATCGCTCATTCAGAAGAAGCTCTTCGGTAGCAAACTTTTTTAATAGATCAAGATTAATTATTCGAGTAAGAAATCATTGGTAATTCGCACTATTTCAATGACGTTCTACTTTCGATACTTTTCTATGTGAATGATATTTTGAAACTGTCTAGTATACTTGAGTCATTATTCCGTATTGTGTTTAAACAAATGATATGATCAAATTGGAAAAGTATTGTGATTTATTTTTGATTTAGTTAACATTTAAAAAATATATGCATTGTAAAGATTTCTAATAGCTATTACTTTAAGGGAGTAACTGCTGTATCTTCGTACCAAAAATTGTTAAAACATGCTGAGTTACTGAAAGACACTGGCAAAATACTAGTAAGGTGCAGAATGTGCGATTCGTGCAGTTTTTCCCTTGGTTTTTATCAATTTCTAAAATATCAACTAAATTCTCATTGAAAAAAAAAAGCATTAGCAATAAATCAAATCACTTTTTTTTTCCGTATTATGATTTGCTTGAAATCACTATATCTGTAGACTTTAGAACAATAGAGTTCAAAAATAATAAGTTCATATCGTTTTGTTTTTATTTCAACAAAATTAATGATTACAATTGAAAATATTCTTTAAGGACAAGCACTTCGATCAATATTAAATTTATCAATACGACCAGTACCAAGATTTGAAACAAATACATTTCCATCTTGATCAAATGCTAAATCATTTGCTTGACTAAGAGTATATTGTTGTTGACCAATGATGGTTGTACCATTGACATTATTTGGTGTCCAACGAACAACTCTGCTATAATATCCATCGATTGAATAAATATTACCTGATTGATCTAGATGAATTGTTCTAGGCCATCGTAGTTGTCCTATAATAATTCCTTCTTTTGCATATTCTGTCCATTTCATAATTCGATCATTAGAATAATCTGCTACATAAACAGTTCGATTTCGATCAACGAAAACAGCCGAAGGTTCATATAATTGATCAAGTCGATTACCTTTACCATTACCACCAGCTACTACTTGATCATTTATTATATTTTCTCCTAATATCCATCGAGTAACTCGATGATTTTCATGTTCAGTAACATAAAGTAAACCTTGATCATCAAATGCTAACCCAGTACAATAGAGCTTATCAATAAGTATTTCTCCCTCTTGAGCACGTCGTGACCATCGAACAATTCGTTGATTTCGTGCGTCACATATAATTAAACTTCCATCTTTTGGATCAATTAACATATCTGCTATCTAATTAAATATAATCTATTTTTTGTTAAACGAAGAAAATATCTTGTTTTTTCTTGTTACTTACCCAACCAAGTTGATCAGTTCTATTTCCTTGTCCATTATCTCCAGCTATAATAGTTCCACGTTTAGCATCTGATTGCCATGCTACAATACGTGCATTTCCATTATCAGCAACATAGAGTGTATTCGTTTTCAAATCAAACAAAATCGCAGTCGGACTTCGAAGTTGATCTAATGCAGTACCACTAAAATTACTTCCAGCAACAGTTATACCGAGTTTAGACCAGCTTACATTAACACAAATCTCTTCAACAGGTATTACTGGTGATGGAGACGAAGCTATTCAATTCAAATTAAAAAAAAAAAGAAATATTAGACATTATTCAAAGAATAAAAATCTCTTTCTTATACTTGACATTGAACTTAATGGCGGACAAAGATCTAATGTAGCCATACCAGTTGGATAACACAATGGTCGATCTATCGATAAATTTGGATGATGAACACAAACAGCATATGGTTGATCACAATAATAATTTATTTCACTACATGTTCTTAGTTTTGAAGCATTTAAATGAAGATATGCACAAATTCCACTTTGATCATTTGATGATGAAAACGGTAGACAACCGCAATCGGGATTAGTTGAACAAGGTGCATAGGCTGATAAATTTCGACATGTTTGACCTATTGTTAATGCTAAACAAGACACAAATGAGAATAATTAATATATAATTAAATACAAGAACTATACCGAACAAACTAAACAAAATAAAACTAAAGATTGCTTATTGAAAAGTTATTTAAATGAAAATATTTACCTTTGTAATACGATGAACAGTATAGTTAAGGTTGAATACATGATAGTAATCGTTTTCTTTCGCAAAATAATGACATGGAGTATGCATTGAATTTATTTGTCCTTCTTTTCTTGTTATTTGATACTTATCGTAATTAGAAAAATACGAACAAAAAACAGTCCTATTGATAAAGATAAGCTTTGCAATAATGACACAAGCTAGAAAAACAGTATAGCAAAATAAATTGCTTTTGTCATATCTTCATCACAGTTTAATTTTTTTATTGCAAATACGAAATATTTTCAATAAAATATATCAATTGGTTCGTTTGCTCCTAGATGAAATTAAATATTGTTATTTCTCATATTCACCATCATCATCATTAATATTGTCTAGAATGAGATACTGCATTTAAAATATAATCAATATTATCATTTAATAAGCATGCACTGTGTGCCGAAAGAAGGAGACAATGGCAGCAGCACCAAACGATAATTGAACAATTTGTTTTGTCAAAATTTTTCTTATATTTGTGGTGGCATAATATTTCTTAAGAAATAATTTTTCATTTTAAAACATTTGCATATGAGCAACAGACTATTTAATTAGGCAAGGTATAACCAGGCATATATATATACTTATGGAGTACTTGCTTCAATCTTAATTTATTTACTAAATAAATTTACACAAATTTAAGTTGAAGACGAATTTAAATATTATGCTTGTCACAGTGCCATTCACTAATTTTTGAGTTAAGTAAATTTACTATTTAGATCATTTTTTTATCAACATTAATTATGATTAGGTTTGTAAATTTAACAAACGAGTCTCAAAATGAGGCAGTAGAACGAACGGTATCTCGATGATTAAATTTCTTTTTTTAAGTTTTAGCATTTGATATACATTCTTGTTTTAGAAAACTCCTAGAAATAGAGTTTACCAGTTGATGTGAAAAGGCACAGTCGCTCGATGTTCTCGTCACCCAAAAATTAATCATCCTTTCTGCTACAACGGGGACCACCTGCACCTGTGGCATAACTGCCTTCATGTCACTCTCCGAATACTCGTAGGCAATGCACATTTTTAATGCATGAACTAACACATATATTGATTTGACTATATTTTTACAGGCAGTACAACGAAATATAATCTTAGATTTGTGTTGACTGATTTCGAACAATTTTTGTTGGGTGGATTTGTCTGATTAATATGAACGAGAAATGCTTATGGGTGTAGACGAGGATGGGAAAATGACGATTGCAGTTTGATCATGAGCGTGTGGATATTTAAGTCTGAGATAAATATCTAAAAAATATTCTATACTGGTATTGTCGTTCTGGTAACTACACTTCGAAGCTCATCAACGCTCAGCCTTCATGCACAGGCTAACCAAATAGGTTAAGTGTATGGAGAAAATAACAAACGAAAAGATATATTTCGAAAGTTGTAGATTTTAAAGAAACCCGTTTCATGTTGGATTCTAAAGAATGAAATGTTAATAGAATTAGTTGAAAGATAAAAGGTGGTACATAATTAAAAAGTGCATATTGTAAAAAATTTAGCTCCTTCTGTTTTATGCTTCTGAGATACATGAAAACTACTTAGTAGTTCATTCTTTTTAGTTTACCCGTTGGCGATTCTTCTTTCTATATCTTCATTGTGGAGATCAAGAAGATGCCTGTCTGATAAAGCTCTAAACTAAATAATAGTTTGCTTAGTTAGACTAGAACTTTTTAGAGTGAGTTGTGGCTATGAATTGTGCTATTGCGGAACTATTGAAGACAAACAATGATTGGACTTTCAATTGAGTACATATTTATTCACAATCTCTCATTCTTTCTAAAAACAAAAATCTAATTTTTTTAAAGAGTCATAGTCGTAATTTTTCATCAATTTTTACAAGAGTGAAGCCTTTTTTGATCGTTAAAAAATTGTTGATGTCTTTCATTCAATAAAGCTTTTCTAAAATGATTCAACAGTGACCATCTATTCTCAGTTGTTTTATATCAACGATACATACATATAAAAATGTATAGACCCATGCTTTTATCACGTACAATGTATGTTTTGTCACTGGATGTCAAGCACTTCTCAATGTTTCTTTGAACAATGTCAAACGTCGATTGAATTTGAATTGTGCTACCAACTCCATATTATATAATCGAATCAGATGTGATTTGTGTATTATTAAGCTTTTTAACAACGACTCTACTGTCAGTCGTAGTTCAATTATTCAACATGGTTGCATCAAACTCATGCAATATACAAACTCATTCACACTCACACATTTCACATGGTTTCTAACACTTCTCTTGATTTCGGAATTCAAGTAATTTATGGAATTTTCGTAATTTTTCCAGTTTCTGAAATGAAGAATGAGTTCATGAGGTGACAGATGGAACAACCTACGACCTCCCAGGTCATAACAATTTAATGGAGAGCAAATATTTTCTTTATTGTAAAATACGTGGTGCAACGTATTTACCACCGTTCCCAAAAGGTTAATAGCTGTATAGAAAATTAATCTTTTTCTAGTAAAGGAGAATTCATATAATAAGTTGAACAATATTTTCCTTTGACAAAATCCGAATGTGAGATGGTATTGAAAATGCTATGCATTAATAGATGAACGTTACTTTTGGTGATTCATATCATGTACATTTTGTATTATTGATAAGTGTCCTGAAAATGAAGTTTATTCCAACAGATTTAGCAGACTAATTGCTTTCAGGTATAGATGTAGGCGTAAGCAGGAGGTGGCTGGGGTGGTTAGGTATCCTTTCTTCTCATCCATCTACATACTTAAACGGATATTGTCTACTATTGAATGATCAACTCTGCCACAGATGCATTAGTTCTTTTTTGTTGTTGTTGAAAGATATGTTTCAAAAGATATTTAATCTTTCTAACAATGATTTTCTGAGTTGAATAGAAACCTATTTTCGATAGATACCTGCCATGTAAAAGTTGCCCACTGTATGCCATTAACTGTTAGATTGGTGCACACCTCTAATGATAGCAGCTTTTGGCACTCTCTGAATCATAGAACAAAATACATCGCATTCTAACGAACGCGAAAACAGAACAGTTGCTTTATTCTTGTTATATGTCAACGATAAAACTCTTCTGTTCGTTCTTATATTTACTTTGTAACAGTGACACAAAGAAAATAGCTAGAGTAAAAGGAAGTAATGAAGGGCATTGAATATGCATAAGCAATTTTGGTGTAGAACAGAAGAGAAAAAAATCGAATGTAAACCAAAACACTCAATCCCATTCATTGCCGTCATCATTTTTCTCTATTCCTGAGAGCAAAAGGTAAGCAAACAAAGTCCCATTCATTCTATAGAGCAAACGTTCTGGTATATATGGATGCAGAATGGGAATAACGAACTCAAAATCAGCTACAAAATCATCATCCGAATTAGCAAGTGCAGTTCTCAAATTGAAAAGTAGTCAAGAGTTGACGTCTTCATCCGAAAATGACAATGCTCAAGTACAAACAATGAAGGTATCACAGCTTCGCATTGTTGAGAATTTTATTGTCGTTTGGTTGGACCCAAATATCAATGTATCGAATGAAGATTGCGCAAATTCAATTGCTCAACTCCGACAGATTGTTAATTTGATCAAAACATTTACTGACCCCGATCAATGTGTCGACTTTCTTTTAGAAGTTAAAGTTGAAAAGATATTTTTGATTGTATCCGATTCTTTTGGTCAATATATTATTCCTCTCATTGAACAAATCACTGAACTTGATTCGATCTATGTGTTTTGTGGTGACAAATCGAATCATGAACAGTGGGCCGAAAAATACAGCAAGGTTAGAGGAGTCTTTACTCGAATTGAGCTCATTTGTCAAGAACTCATACAAGATATTCGTCAATCGAACAATCATCTAAGTCCTATTAGTATTGTTTCTGCATCATCGGCTGCTAGCTTGAGTGAACTCGATCCATCTTTTATGTATTCTCAACTACTCAAAGAAAATCTTATTGATATCAATTATGATGATAATTCAAAAAAAGATCTCGCGAAATTCTGTCGTTTGCAATATTCTGGCAACCAGAGCGAACTAAATGTGATCGACGAATTCGAACGAGACTATTATAGTCACTCGCCTATTTGGTGGTATACTCGAGAATGTTTCATTTATTCGATGCTTAACAAAGCTTTGCGAATAGTTGACATTGAAATTATTATGAAAATGGGCTTTTTCATTCGTGACCTTCATCAAGAAATTCAGCAACTTCATTCGAAATCGAACTACACAGATTCATTCATTGTTTATCGAGGACAAGGCATGTTGAATGTCGAATTTGACAGGATGAAGGAGAGCAATGGTGGTCTTCTCTCATTCAATAACTTTCTTTCAACAAGCACCAGACGATCTGTTTCTCTGACTTTTTCTCGTCGTGCTCGAGAGAAGAAAGAGATGACAGCTATTCTTTTTCAAATAAAAATCGATCCTTCAATTTCATCAACTCCTTTCGCTTCGTTAGATGGCATTAGCTTCTATCGAACTGAAAAAGAATTTCTCTTTTCGATGCATTCGATCTTTCGCATCGGTGATATGAAACTGATTGATGATGGATTATGGGAAATCAATTTAACATTGACAAGTGATAATGATCAACAACTTCAACATCTCACCGACCAAATGCGAGTTGAGATTGAAGGACCGACAGGCTTGCACAGACTAGCTTCACTGATGATCAAAATGGGAGAATTCGACAGAGCCGAAGAGAGTTACAAGAAGTTGCTCGAAACGACATCAAATGACGATCGGGAGCTTCTCGCACATATCCACCATCAGCTCGGATTTATCAACTGGGAGAAGGGCAATCTAATGGGTGCACTCTCTCGCTATCAACATTCCATTCGTATCTACTTGACATATCTGCCATCGAATGATTCTCAACTCGCTCTTACCTACTCCAACATTGGATTGGTTCTTCATCGGCAAGGTGATCTAGATGGGGCATTGAAGCAGTATCAACTTGCTCTCAATGCTGATCTTACTGCTTCACAACCCAAGAAACTGAAAACCGCTACGTATTACAACAATATTGGTCTGGTGCTCAAAGATCAAGGCAAGTTTGCCGAAGCACTCCAGAATTATCAATGCTCACTCGAAATCAAATACATTCACCTTCCGCCACATCATCCAACGTTGGCTACCACTTACAACAATATTGGTGGAGTACTTCTTGCGATGAAAGAGTATTCGAAGGCTATCTCATACTTTCAAATGACACTTGAAATTCAGCAAAAATCTCTTCCACAAAATCATCCTTCGTTAGCCACGACTCACTGTAACATTGCTGTAGCATTTGACAGTATTCATCAATATAAAGAGGCTATCAAACATGCAGAGCGATCGGTCGCCATTGATCGTCTCATATTCGGTTCTAGTCACGATAAAGTGCAAAAACGACAAGAATTCCTCGATCAACTTAGACGAAAAATGTGAGCGAAAAAGTGTTCTAAAATAAATAAAGATTGAAGTTTACTTGTATATCGTATTTTAATTTTGATTGTGACACGGGTTGAATTGATGAAACAAAAGGTTGACGATTGATAGATCGATGTTCAATGAAGATTATTGATTTAACACATAAAATGGGAAAATTATTCTGGTAATATCAGGAGAATGATCTAGCAGCGAAACCAGGATTTCATCACTTCTAATGTGTTCCATAGGATGATATCGGTTATTATTGAAGTAAAGTTTTCCACATGATGAATTATTTGAATTTCCAAGAAAACTTGTGGATTGTTCATATATTGCGTCCTTGGGCTAATAGGCGTCAATAGAGATGTGTACAAATGAACGGACTAGCCTCGGAACAAGTGTGTTTATTTCTAAATCGTGCAAAACACACTCTCTCAAAGAGGAAATATCATACTAATTGGCATATTCAGATTAAGTAGAGTATCCATCAGAGAAAGCAACTGACACAAGCGAAAAGAGCTGTAACACTAAAAATATTTTTATTTTTGAATCACACACTTTCGAAGGGAAGCATTAATAGAACAGTGAGTATAAAACTGCTACGGAGAACATGTTAGCTTCTTTTGAAAATCACTAGTTTATTTCAAGCTTTCAACAAACTACTTTTGTCATCGTCAGGAAATAATCAAAGAAAAAACCATGTTGACTCTTGTATATATGTGTGTCGTTATCCATTATGTCATGATGATGACCTCAAACAAGACAAATACAATTAGGCAGCTTTTAATGAAGTAGCACAATGATCTATTGACACGCGCAAATCAGTAGATCATTTACTCATTTGATCACAAGTTGCCTAATAGTATTTGCCACATTTTTTACCATGTCCATGATACTACAGGCAACGACATACATATATACAAGAGTCAACGTATTTTCATTTTGATTAACTTCTGATATTATCCAAAATAGTTTGTCGAAAGTTAGAAATAAAATCGTGATCTTCAAAAGAATTTAACATATTCTCCATAGAAATTTTATACTCAAACTTCTCTTATATTTTTCCTACTGCTTCTTCTTCTAATTTAATAATAGGCATATTATTACATTCAATATCATTTCCTGTTAATCATTATAAGAATATTGGAGAGAAGTCCCTTGTTTAGAAATATAATCGATTTTGAATTAAAATCTTTTTCCCTAGCAAGTCATATGCATTTTTGAATGAAACATTCACTGTGTATTCTTTTTTTCTAACTTCATACTTGTTTACATTTAAATAAATAGTAACATCTGATTATTTCTGATACAAAAATCATCCAAATTTCACATGTTACAACTGAAGTCGTAGGTTCACAATGTCATCTATTAGGCATTTTTTCCGTATTTTGGATATTGCTAAGAGAAAAGTAAAAGACGCCTTATTTGTAGACCTTCGATGTATGATTTTTCCAGACATTAATCAGTGTTCCTCATGCTACAGAAATCAGTTAAGTTTCTCTCACGATATTATAGATTATAGATATAGAAGATTCACTACTGAATACTGTTGTCATATTTTGGATGATATGTTCAAAGTTGAAGAGATAAGAAAGCTATTTTTTTGGTCTCTGATCAGCTAGTTCTTTAGTTGTTATTGAATACTAGTAATTATGACAAAATACTCATCTCAATCCGTTACCCAACACTATAGATCATGGATACACAATGTTCATTATCAAGTAATTAGTACATATTTTTGTGATATGTCAATATCAAATAACAATGCACACGAGTTTTTCGAAACCGATTCTCCGAAAAGAGTTTTTGACAAGCCTTCTACATTATATCATTGTGATCAATATAGAGGAATAGACATGAGGAATATTATACTTTTTATAATCGTTTTTTGATTTTAAATCGAAGTTATTTGTGAAGTTTTTTTTTAAATTCAACTCTCTATCGAATAGTATGTAAATTGACTATTGAATCGTTCGAAGCTGCTTTCAACAATGACTAATTCTGATCTCGCTGTTCCCCTTTCTCAAGATCACAAAGGTACCCATGTAATTGAACATTAAAATAAAGTGAAAATATCACCAATCACGCTCCAACTTACTGAAACGAATGTTAACTTTGACTTCTTTAATTGCTGAAATTTTCATAGAAAATAAACTTTGTTTGGTAATAAAATTGAATGGCATGTAATCATCGTCCGTTTTATATTGCGTTGAAAAATAAAATATTTTGTGATGAGGCTTGTCGATTTAAATTTTAAAGTCTCGAACTTTTGAATGCATACTCAAATAATACTTAATTAGTAGTCTTTAGAAAAAAAAATGGTAAACAAATTCTATCACGCTAATCTGGAGAATTGATCACCATATAGACTTTATTGGATAGGATGGTTGGTGCGTCCATCTCAAAATATATAACTGTTGAAATTTTCAGAATTCTAGCTCGTATTGACGAGAAAATATCAAAAAAATATTTCAAATTAATAAAAAGCTATTTTGGACGATTGTAATCAAATCATAATAGCTCAGCCAAAAACCATCCATAGTTTAAAACTTTGCCTATATATCTAAAATCATATGCTCTACAAACATGGGATAACTTTCATTCAAATCTAAAATTGTTAATTGGGTATATCTATTGAAAGTCGATCGTTATTTTTTGTACAGTGACTTCTAGAAAGAAAGTAAGTTGCATTACATCAAAGTAAACACGTTCTAGAATGAATAGTTCACAGCAGCAACACCATTCTGAAGATGCTTCAATTATGAAAACAAGATTTTCAAATCACATGACCAACTTTCAGTAGATAGATTATATAATTTAGCCTTCTGGTTGTGACTGTATCTACATTCATTTCAGATCAAATTTCATAAAATCTGCACCAACAATAAAAAAATAGAGACATTCTTTTTTTTTTTTTAAATTAAAAATAAATGAAAATAAGCTTACGAGGATCAACTTCTCACATTTCTAATTTGTGTGATAAATATCTATTTAAAAGCGCGAATTTGAATGCCATATTGTCAAACGAAAGAAAAAGAAAAACAGGTAGGAATACACTTACAATCCACATCTCTTGGACGATTTCTTTTTTTTTTCAAGGAGCTAATCGATGAAGTTCATTGTATTATTGTTGGCTGTTGTTGTGGCCAGTGTGCATTCATGGACATTGGATTATACTGGTGCTAAACAAATATCATCACCACATTTCGGTCGTGGACGTCAAGGTCATGCCATCACATGTAAGTAGTCTTCTTCTTCTTCGATTATTCTTATTCCTAACTTTTTCTAATAAAAATGAAACAGGTTTGGTTCTTCATGGCACAGCTGGCGGTGGCACAATTGAATGGTTTCAAAATCCAACAAGTAAAGTTTCTGCACATTATGTTGTTGGACAAGATGGATCAGTTACGCAAATGGTTAGCGAAGACGATACAGCATGGCATAATGGTACGTTTCACTTTTGCTCTCAAGAAGATAACAAACATATTATTCGAGAAGACATTTCGGAGATAGTGGTTAATATGCCTAAAGACGCTTGATTCTTTTTGTTAATCTATAGAAACTTTTAAAGCACGCAAAGTCAACAATAATTCAATGCTTTTGTCATTCACATCAAATTTTGCTTTTCGTCTGGCATGAACCCAGTTGAAAATATTAGTTTTAAGCAGAAAAATTGTTTAAATTCTTTTTTTTTTTGATAAATTAAATCATCCATTCAGTTTTTGAGGAAAGCTGGCATGGAGCTCTATCTCTGTATTTGTTCAAAAAGAAAACAGTAAAAGTAATAAGTTCGAGCGTTTTCATAATGGACCTTCAGCTTCGAACACATTAAGATTACAACATTCAAAGTCAATTATTCTAGGTGTGGTAACAACAAACTCACAATTTTATGGTCGCGCAAATCCCAATCTGTGGTGTATTGGTATTGAATTCAGTCGTAATGTTCAAAATAATAATGTAATGCCTGAAGCACAAATTCAAGCGGGTATTAAATTAGTTGCTAATATAAAACGTCGTTATCCAGGCATCAATATTTATACACATGACCAATTTAACGTTGGACGCACATGTCCAGGCCCGAATTTTCCACTTGCTCGATTCAAAAGTGCTTAGATTTCATCATCGAATAATTCATCCATTCGATTTTATGCTGTCATTGTACACGAAAAAGTTTATTTTATAAATAAATAAACGAAACCCGATGTCAATCGGAAACTTTTAGCATTGTAGAATTTTTTGTATGTATTAACTAGAAAGTTAATTTCGATTTAATACAAATGCAGAAGACTCGACTAGTAGTGACAAGCACAGGAAACTACTCGGAAAACAGAACCTTTCGAAAAGATGTAAGAGATCGCATTGCTTTGCGTTCTATGACAAGCAGGTTCTTAACTGTAGAACATTAAACACTGCAAGTGATATTTATGATAGAATACAGATTGTTGAATTGTTGCATTTCTACTCTGTTGCCTTGTGTCCGTTCAATTTCTTTCTACTATTTTAGTAACATTAATGAAGAGGATAAAGTGTAGGTGAAGAGAAGATCCACATCTTCATATCACAGTCACATTTTTGTTGATTTATTTTTCTTAGTTTTCTTTTCATTGATTTCACTGGCATAGTATCCTAATTTACAAGTCTATTTAATTATCCATTATCTTTCAATGAAAGCTAGCTTGAAGGTGTAGATAAACTCTGAGATATTCACGTCGATTTCAACTTAAAGTTAGGATGCCATTGACTTATATTTTTCCTGCTGGATTATACTGACTCTAGCACTTCGATATATTGCTATTTTTATTCCCTTACATTTACAATAAGATCAAGTTTTCGTCTCAAACACTAACACGTTCAACATTCAAAGCAATAAATTAGCTACTTCAAAAGATCGATATATATCGTTAAATATTCAAAAAAGAACTTTAACCATTCTACATATGTAGCTAGTCTGTGTCAGCTACGTCTATCTTTAATAACGATGAATAATACAGAAACCAAACTTTTTATAAAGAGGAGTGAAGACGAAAAATGATGTTCTTCTGACGGTTGGGTGAGTTCTTTCGAACATCGTGGTTATAGCAACACATTCTATGTGTCTGTCCTCCTAAAAATAAGCGTTCACTGTCCCTGAGTTTTATATCATTCTTCTGAAAGAACGAACTGAATAATATATTAGAAATCAAGTTTGGTGTGAGTCAGTTCGTAATGGAAGGATGCCAATAAGAGAGGGAGAGCCGAAAACCTGACATCAAATGTACACTTGCCAATTTCTTTCAAAAAACAACTGCAATTTTCACAAGAGCTTATTCGATATTCCAAATTCAATAATCTATTGTAATGTAGACATCTTCATAACGGATAACTGAGACCGACTAGAGAAAATTATCAACCATTTCTACAACATGTCTCTCTGTAACTAAGAGAATCTATCTGTAAGAGGGAAGTAGTTGTAAAGTGTCGATATAAACTAACACTTACATTTACATGTGTGCGTTATACAAAAATACAAGCAAGGCTATAATCATCCGTAACTTTGCAAAAAGATCGTACATGATAAAATCAGATCAATTTTGTCCTTCAATTTTTTTTGTCATTTGATACTCATCGTAATTGCAAGAAAAGCATTAATGCTAGGCTTCGTTATGAGAATATGTCTTATAAAAGAACGAGAGTAAACAGTATTTTATATCACTATTGTCATAATTTTCTTTTAAATATCAAACTAATCGTTATCATTTTTTATGATGTGGGTGTGTCTACTTTTAAGATCAACCACATTCACATTCCAGCAATTTTACTGTACATATCAAAAACATTGTAGGATCTTTCACATCTCCGTCTTTATTGAACTACTTCAAGACATAAAGTAAACTTTTTTATTTTAAAGCTGATTCTTACGACTAATGATTCTCGTGATCTTGGTCTAAATAGATCTTAATTGAAGAAGAAAATTGTTTTCATGAGCAAAAATTGAACGGTTTTTTCATAGAATTCCAAAATTTTATTGAGTAATGCATATCTCAAAAAGTTAACAAAAAAGAAAATAAAAAAAAGATCACGAAAGTCACTAGTACCAAATGTCTTTAATCAAATAAAAAATGAAAATTGCTTCAGTCTCTTGAAATAATTTAATGACATTGGAGGTCCTAAAGATTCCGAAATCACTACACAAATTGCTATTTTAATAAATAATTTTATTTATATTCTACCTATGTAGTTACTATGTTTTGGTTGTTCTAAGTATTACTTGTATAACAGTTCCTTCATTTGGTATTTTCATTGCACAAAAAAAGTTTAAAGAGTTTGCTTTTAATATCTTTTATATGCTTATTTTTTGTCGCTGTTGCTGTACCATGAAATCTTTTAAAACTATATGCATTTGCTGAGTTTGTTATTCACATTGAAGAACAATCGACAAAATATTTTATTCTTTCTTAAAACTAATCATTTTATGAAATTGTCATCACATATTGTTTTTACTATAATTATCTTGAGTATGATATTCTCATTAATTCAGCATATATATCATATCGAAATATCTTCTCTTAAGCATATAACTACTATTTGTAAGTCATCATTAAATCGAAATTGAGGATTTATGAAATTGATTCAATATTATTTGAAAGTAGTTTTTCTTTTCATCAGGTGTAAGTTTATGTTGTTTTAAGACAAAATTTATTTCATTTTTAAAGAACTAAAAATTTCGTAAAAACAAAAGAACTTTGATTGATTGAATACTGTCATGAGAATTCATTGAATTTAATCTTATGTTAAAATCAATAGTATATCTAGTTTCTTTTTTTCCCAAATCGTTATGTTTTATTTCATCGAAATATTGGTATTTCTATTCTCTGACTTGATCTATTCTTATTGATGTTCTACTTTCAATTCTATTTCAGTTTCTGTTCATATCGATATCCAATGAATGTATTGATTAAACACATTCGCATGGTCCACATACTTGAAATGTGTACTTTATTGTATCACAATCATTCATTTGGATATGCACACTAAATTGATTCTTGAATTTCTTTCGTCGTTCCTTATATATAGCAATAGTGGTGTCAACAGTATTCATTGTTCTCTAGTTTAACAGTTACTATAGGAAGTAGTCTACCAGTTATTTCTGTACAGTTTACTTTCGTTGATCGACGAAAACTGTTTTGAAAAAAAATATGGTACTCTTTGGAGCAAATGGCGATGCATATTCTTCATATTGAATCATACCAGGAGTATATTGAACGTAAATTACTGACTCATATCTTACCTATTCTTTTTTGAGATAATAATTCTCAAGAAAAAGATATTCTTATACATTGAATGTTAAACTTCAATGATAAAAAAGTGATTTAGAGAAGCTGAATCAAAAGAAAAGTGTTGAAGAATCAATCTTCAGTTCATATTTTGCTATTGATTTCCAAGATATGTGTCTAAGCTTTGTTTGAAGTTTCAATCATTTCGATTTAACATCGATGAAAAACTGACACGTGAAATAATCTCATAATAAAATAGATTATCACATAATCTATGAAGATAATAGAGCAATAGATTAATTCATTGAATGAAATTAAAAGAATTTATTTCAAATCGGATAAACAAAAAGTTTGATGTAATAGTTAAATTACTTGCAGCAAAACTGAATACTTTCTAAGTTATAAAAACAAATGTGCCAGTTTACGACTTCCTGTAAATATAATCACTCAAAAGAACAATGAAAAAAATCCGAAGAATAGAAAAACTATTTAGTATCTTGTTTAATAGATGAAAAGAAAAGATGCTGAGTTAATGTCGATCATTATAACCAGTAAATTTAAACTTATTATTCATATTTGGTTTATAATTACTAAAACCATGTCGATTGGGTTTATTTGATATTCTATAACAATGTAAAACATATTCGCTCATATTTTTCTTTTCAATTTTCTCGAATTCACGTTGGCCAACAATTTTTGCCAAAAGATTAATATCGACATCAGCTAGTGGTTGCCAACAAAAGGCAGACATTTCATTATTATATAATTGAGAATATCCAACTTGATTTGTTAATAATGCAATTAATTTATCTTTATTCGTTGCAGTATTAACATTTCCCTCTGTTTCATTTGTTTGTGGTAAAACTAATAAATTTTTGATAACATCAGAAAAAAGTGAACCACAACGTTTTGAACAATATTTTCTCAATAAACCGCCAAAACCTTCTAATGTTTTCGAAGTTAACACTTTATATGTAACAATACGAATGTTTTCTGGTGTAAGGTTAAATGTAACAGTATTATCACGATTTCCTAAAATTTATAATACAAAAAATAGAAAATGAATTAAAAAAAAAAATGATTTTTTTTCATGAAAATTTTACCTTGAAATCTTTCATCAAGTATAGATAAAATATTTGATTTTGTTACATTAGCTGGTACAGTTTGATCAATATGTAAAATCATTAATAGTTCTTTTCGTAAATCATCATAATCAATATTATTTTCAATATAATTTTCATTTATATTACAATATTTTAACATATTTTTAATAACGATAGGAACATTTAAACTAAGTTCACTATCAATTGATTGTAAAATACTTTTGATATATTCAACGTCAGCTTCACGAATGATTAATTTTCGGTCTTCACCAGTTGTTGTTTCTGGAATTAATTCAATTGGTTTACACATTTCATCATGAAAATATTGAATAAAACTTTGTTCAACATAATCAGGATCTTGTTGATTTATATCAATACCAACTGTATCATTATTATTTGCAACGGTTTTAACTCTTTGACTTTCATCACCATATAATAATCGTTCGATAATATTCATTTTATCTGCAGGCATTTTTTTATGTAAACATTGTCGAAGATATTCATAATAGACAGGCATTAAGACACTTTTTAAATCATTTTTTAAATGTCCAATAATCAATGGAATACTTAAATCATATGTTCCATTTTGTCGTCCATGAATACTGTTAATAAAATTATCATATGTTTTTTCTCCATAGGCACTTTTAAAACCGATTGATTCAGTAACAATAAAATGACAGACTTTTTCAAATTCAGTTATTATTTGCTTATTTCTTTCTGTACCGGTGCGTAATATAATCATATCATAGAGTAACTTAAGTAAACCAATTTCTTGCTGTTTATCATAACCATAGGAATCTAAAGTAAACATATATCCTAGCCAAATTCCTTCTAAAATTCGTATACGTTTCATATGTTCATAATTAATATAAAGTGGTATAACAGCATTGATTTTTTCACGTAATTGACCAATTACACAGTAAGTGTCATTAATTCCAGAAAATTGTCCATAGTTGGTTCCATCTGATTGCTGTTGTTGTTGATTGTGGGAGTTTCTTGCTAAAGTCATTGCAGCAATAAATGAATCATATGAAATTAGTGTATTTGACACACTAATTAATTTTAAACCTTTTGTTGGTGATGTAATAGCTTGTTCATTACGTTCAATTAATATTCCTAAACACATAATATTATCCGGTGCTTTTCTCATCATTTCATATATATCATCACTGGAATATGTACAAACCCAATCAGATTTTTGTTCTTTTATTTTATTCCAACCATCTTGATCAATACTTTTTTTATAACCATCTAATATTCCACTAATATCTGTTCGACGAAAATAATCAACATTTTTACTAATACGTATATCTAATTTTTTACGTCTTTGTGCATTAGCAAATGTTGCATCATGTCTTAATGCACTCAATTTTAATTTGACTTGTTCTGGTACTTGTCCAATTTTAATTTGTGTAAATAATTGAGTATATTCCATCATTCGTTCATCAATTTCTTTTTTAATTTGTTCTAATTCTAATCTTTCCATAAGATCAGCACTTCCTGTTGGAATAATTGAATTTAAAGATGTACGAATTTTATGAACAGATTTTTCATCATCTGGTGATGCTAAATTTAATGCTCGTACAAGATGAATCGGACGAATATTTTGCATAAGTTCTAATGGAATTTTTGATTCACCATCAGATGATTTAAGTGTGATTTCTTTAGTTGTTGTATCATCAATTGTAATATTATCAATTAAAAATCCAGCTGTTTCTTCATTACTACTTGATGTATATGATTGTCCATTAATAACAATTGTAAATTCTCTGGCTGACATTGCATATTCAAACATATCATTGAAATTATTTTGTAATTCTGCTGATTGAGTTGAATATCGAAATAAACCTTCTTTGTTACCAAATTGTCTTACTTGATTTAAAAAATTATTATTCACTTCACCAAAACCAATAACATGAAAAACAACTGTTATTACTTTTGATAATCCACTAATAGTTAATTTTAACATTTGAATAGCTCGTTTCAATGCTTCTTGAGAATCTGTATCTTGACCATCGGTCATAAAAATAAATGTCGTTGATTTTTGATTAGTAACTAAATGATTTTGAATAGCACTGAAGATTGAACTAAAACTAGTGCCACCATTTGCATCTAAATATTGTTTTTCAACTGATTTTATTGTTTTTGTTGTATCTGCTTTTGTATTATAAGTAAATAATGGATATTCAATTTGTGTACGTTGATAAATATCACGTAATACTTCACAAACATTACGAATTGGACTACCACTCATTGAACCTGATATATCCACACAACAGATTAAATTGTTACCAGATGATGAATCAATTTTTGGTACTTTTACTTCGACATAGTACGATTCATTACTAATAGTAAATGGAGTTTTGAAATATGTAGCCATATCTTCAGAAAAATCACAGATTGATTTGCAAAGTTCAAAATCTAGTTTTATTAAAAAGAAAATTATTCAAATTAATGTATGTTCATTTATATTTTAGTGAGAATATCTTTTTATCAAGTCAGCAAATTTATATAGAGTAATAAAACGAAGAAAACTTTTACCATTTCATTTGAAAAGGATCTAAGATATAACGAAGTTGCATTGCTTTTCTGACTGATTTATTCTCTCAAATCTTATCAGAAGTAAACGACGGATCTAATAATTGTAATTAGAAGATCTTCTTGAAAATTGATTTTGTTAATAATTTCTAAAAGCTTTTTAATTTTTTTAGCATTTATTTATATGTTAATATTTATGAATTTGTTTTAGTGCGGACAATATTTTGCTTTCATCGTCTCAGCAGCATGTCAGCTCTGAGTTGGATAGTTCATGAGAAACAACTAATAGGAAAGAGTAGTTAGTAAAAAAAAAATGTTTTCTGTTTAAAAGAACGTGTTCTGAGATCACTTTAATGCTCCTTTACAGCATGCTGTGAAGAAAATTGTTAGATTTTCTTTGTGAAAATATTCGTTCCGACGATCACAGGACATAATTAACGTGGTATGCTTTCAAACGTGTCACACATGAAGAGATCTTTCTGAGATAAGAACATCTTCAGTAAAAACCCGTTGCCCATTAGTTAATACTTCGCTTTGTCTGTGCACTTTCTTCTAGAAATTTTGATGTTCTTATCATACAAGATCTCATTCATAATTGAAAAAAAATATATCTCTGAGAACATACAGTGAGACATGTCTTATGAAATTCCTCTCATATGTCTGAGGACGTATATCTTTTTGCATGAAGATGCCAAGGTGCTTTTCGAAGCAGAAGCAAAAGATTCTAAAATCACTCTCAACGTGTATTCGATCGCTCTTTTTCTGTAAATTGTTTCTTCATAGAAAACCATATTCATTTAAATTAGCTAGAAACTAATAACTAAACTGGCGGTACATTTCATCTTGAATCAATTCTATTTATACGAGCCAATTCTCAACATAAGCAACTAACTGAAATAACTTTGACATAAAAAAGGTTAATTTTCTTTTGTTAAGTTATTTATACCTCCGGGTAAAAGTCTTTCTCCCATTGTTTTTATTCTATCATAATTTGCATCAAATTTATGATCAAATAAAAATATGACATAACTTTTATTTCAGTGTAATCTATACCATATTGAAATAAAATTCTTATGTCATATTTTTACTCGGCAATAAATTTTATGCAAAGTATGATAGAATAGAAACAAAGAGGGGGAAAGATTTCTGTCCGAGAGTGTAGTCATATAGAACATAAGTGCCACCAGTGATCAATTGTATTCTTTAGAAAAAATAGTCCTATTATAAATCGCACAAATATTTTAAGATATGTTGTTTATATTGTTTCAAGAACACTCTTCTAACCAACGATTGTTTTCTCTTTTTTACATTAAAATATTATTCGCTTCTTTTCCATTGATGAGTGGGGATAAGTAAAATAAAGTCGTTTACTAATGATATATGAGACAAAAAAGTGTTGAAATTAGGATTTTCGTTGAGATCACCAAAAAATTTGACTTTTTTTAGGGACATAATACAGGACCCCTCTTGTGACTTGTGAATGATAAGACAAAATAGAAGACTCGGAGTCTTCTAATATATCGAGAGCTTTATAGATTTTATATCAACTGAATACTGATCTACAGTGATTGATATTGATTTCATCAAGTTTACATGAAAATAATGGTTTTTCACTATCTATTCAAATATATTTTGAAGAAATACATTTTGACATTTGAAGAAGTTTCTCACAGGATCTATCAGGATACATACACCAGAGTCTACTACTGTTAACGAGAATGTGGATATATTTACAACCTTACGTACATATTTTCAAATTACTTTGTAACTCATATTTATCATCCAGTGAGAGATTTATTCTTTTATTTAGTTTCTGACTATGCATTAATAGTAAGAATTTAAAGAAAATCTTTTTTTTTTAAATAAATATTTCAAGAATAAATAATGATAAAATATCTTTACTTCTACTCCATGATAGAATACTATATATATTTTGACTATTATCTAAATAATATAATAACCTGAAGATTTCTCTACATACTTCTTATCTTGATGTTGGAAAGAAATAGAGAATAGAATAATATTTACATTGTACTAACGTCACTTAATAGAAAAGGACACAATAAAAAGGATAAACCATCATTATTATTCGTATATATCAGTTCATGTGATTCGAATTAAACAAAAACTACTGATATACTGACAATAAATCAGCGATTGTTCGATGCTTAAAAAGTATTGGCTAATCTTTGATCGTCATTCTTCTGCAGAATACTGACAGTTATTCTCTGACTAGTAATCGACTGCTGGTATACCAGCGGTAGCACAAACACATGTGTGACATGAAAAAATTTAAAAAAATTGTAACTTTCAAAAACTTCATCTTGCCACGAATACTTTTTCTTATCATAGCAACTCTGTCTTGGAGAAAATGAACCAAGATGTAACTATACTTCTATCCTCTATTTGTAAAAAAAGGTTCTGTTATTAAAATTTCTTCTGTGTATATATTTGAATAATTTTTCGGTTAAAGCAATTTATTTATATTAAAATCATAAAAGCTCCAAACATTACGTTTATTAAAAATGATATAAGAATTATGCTTGGTTGTTGCTACGTGAAAACACCAATAACATTTCTTAGTTTGCTTTTAATTTCTATATTACGTTTACTGTCATAGACTTTGCTAATGTATGGAATGAAAGAAATTTTATACACCAAAAAGAATCCTTATCTTTCAAAAAAAACTCATATACTTACAGCTGTTAAGAAAGTGGCGCCTTGTTTTTCAATAATGTAATATACTTCTTACTTTATATACAATGCAATATTGCACAACACAGGGAAATTATCAGGTATAGTTTTACGAAATCGTCATTAGTTGTGCAATAGTAAATAAAACATTTGTCTTTCTTTTTATTTGTCTCGCATAAAAAGTAACACAATCTATATCAAATGTGGTGATGAAAACAAAGAAGCATTGAAGAAAGTGATTGCATGAAAAATTCCCTGAGAGTGGAAAAGGAACACCTAAATTTTTTTGAAAAGGGATGAGATGCTACATTACTTTCCCTTTTTACGATTTTTTCTATTCAAATTTCTTTCTAAATGGCGGAGAGGGTCACATCTCTGCACTCTCCTCGTCACTACATCGCTGATTTATAAATACTTTTCATTAAGATATTTCAAAGTTATGTAGTGACATCTATGCGTACGAAATCAAAGGTGGATAAATAATTTAACAAAACATATTTGTTTAATAATTTTATATATTCTTATCATATAATATTAATAAATAATCTGACGCGAGAATATTTCTTGGTCTCATATGACTGGTGAATAAAGTTATAAGGTCGTTCTCACTAAGTAAGACACACCACTTGATAAATAACACATCATTAACGACTACCACATGGCATTTATTATGCTTTTTTCTTTCTTCCGATGTAAGAAAAAAAAACAGAAATTATAGGAAGAGAAAAATTACTTTTTTCACGTTTTCTTTTTTCTACTTTTTATGGTCATACTGTTATTGGTTAAAAAAACGTCTCTTTAAAATATACCGTTACTCGGTAGTATTTTTCATTTCAATAGTAACTTCTCTTGTCGTATAAAGGTTGAAATTTGTGTACATGAATATTGGTTATGTAGTAAAAGTTTGCCTGAACGATGGTTACAGTGGTCAAGATGGTCAAAAACTGATCCTGTAAACTGTCGCTTCTTATACCTTGGATCTGTAAATTGACGTATGATAGATGCAGTAGTTTGACTGTGTTTTATGGCGCTGTACACAATTGATAATGCTCGTCAAACGATCCACAAAATCGAGCATTTGATCATTTATGAGCGTTTACAATACAATCAAATATGGTCGTGATACTTGGTCTAGCAAACGGCTAAAAAGTCATCTAAAACGGGCATTTATAATGGCACTATTTTAACTTAAGCTATTTTCATTTATTGGTTAAGATATTCAACCATAATACTCAGCTGTGTTGTTGTTTTGTTTCATTATTAACAGTTTTTTTAAAATAAGTATCATGTTAGATTGTGTTTCTAGCATAATTCTTTGTAATACTTAGCTATTAACAACTTTCATTATTATTTTACAAGAGATTTTTTTTCTGAAAACTCTGAGTATTAATATGCATACCGTATTATAATCTTTAGTTAAATTTTTAGATTGATGCGGCAAAACAATACATGGCTTTAATAACATGATTTAGATAATTTTCAAGAATTATTTCTGTAACAAAAAAGTAAATCTAGGATAGCTTATCAATAGCATACAAATCTTTCTGCTTTAGACTTCTTCTTTTTATCAAATAACAGACAGATTTAAGTGATTTCCTTTCCTTTTACACTAAGTATATGCTAGTGGAAAGAAATAAGCAAATCAACTAGATGGCAACCATAAAATATTGCTATATGACATTATATTCATTCTAGATTAGTAATGGCACAACCAGACATTAATGCAGCAAGTTCTGTTAGTCCATACGATAATAGTGGACCGAAGCATTTTATCATTTGGCTGGATAAACATATTGGAAAACCTGAAGAGTGTGTTCTATTAAAGTGTTCCTTTTTCTGCGCGATCAATCCCACCAGTGGTTTATACGACAGAAAAATGAATCAATATGATATTGACAGTAGCATTGGTTCGGAAGTTAGCATTATCATACAGCTTGATACAGTTAAATTCATGTTTCAAGCTTTTGTAGATGTTGAAAAATGTTTCCACACTATCGAAAAAAATCGTCATAAATGTATCTTTTTTATTAGCTCAGGTTCAAAAGGAAGAATTATTATACCAAGTCTTGTCGCGAATTTTCCGGATACTTTTGAAGTACAACATTGGATGTATATTTTTTGCGCCAATATGAATATGACACAAGTTCA